CTTCTCGATTTTGATACATATCAATTAGCTGACCAAGAGGGCAAATACCGAGAGAGACTCTGCCAGAGCGAAAATCATATCTGTGCCGGAAAATTGCGCCTTTGATAAGATAGAGTGCCGACTGTATTCGGCTTCGCATACCAGGATCTTTAGAAACAACGTTAAGAGTTTTTAATCCTAAGCAGAACGCATGTCCGTCAATATCCGCGAAACGAGTCATGATAAGAATTTGTCGAGCTGCAGAGACCTCTTGAAGTACCTGAAACAACGTTTGTTAACAATGATTTCTGATTTGTCCACTTGGTCATACGTTACATTACCCAGATACGCCGAAACCAGGACCGTTGAAACAACGTAAGGATTGCTTCCCGACTCATCTCATTTTCTAAGGGACTCGTAGCCCGACCTTCCGCAGCATCACGTATACATTCAAGCGCTTTATCGCCATGGGCCGTGATATGTCTTTGAGATGAATAGGTCTCAGCTGCATGCTCTTCGAGCCAAACGACCACACGGATCGCCTTAGCATAGATAATGGCCATTAATTCAACTTGAGTACTTCGTTCTTCCTCGTCGTCTTGGTTGATGCAGATAGCATCGGCCCATACGACGCGTGGGAAACACCAATCTCGGAGACGTGAAAGTGCCGCGTGGAGATTTTCCGTGACCGTAAGGTAGCCCATTTCTGTGTAAACCAAGCGAGGTCTTTCAGGTGCGCCCCATACGTAAGACAAAGCTTCATAAGGATAAGGCCCTTTTGCCTGATCTGAGTTTTCGAGGGCGTAGTCAACAAGATGGCACTGTATTGGGGCATATTCATCTTGATGTGGCATCAATTGGAGTAGGCGGATATAACCATCTGGCAAAGGGCGATAACAGTGTGGAGAGAGGGCACAAGATGTTGGTGGTGTGGAGGATGCATGTTCGTCTCTCCTCTTACTCCATAAATTCGGCTCTCTCCCTCTCTCACCTCCCTTGTACTGGTAAGACCGCAATCCTTCCATCGTTTCGATCAATGTAGGTTATTAGGAAGAGAGCAAAGTCTTAATGACCACTTATTGTATATTTTAAGAACAAAATCACGATGGTATACCACACTGTCAAACTAAAACGTGGAGTAGCTTACACGCGCGCTCGTAGTTTGATTTAGGCTCATATTAGCTTCAGTGCAAATTTAGATAGCAGTCGATACCACCAGACACCACACATCTCTCTGCGTGCTATCGGTTAATTGGATATAGGTTTAGGAGCTACAACGTAACAACTGACCAGCTCCCCAGGGTTCAAGCATCTTCCACGTATGTGTATTCATTTTCAGACCTTGACGCATACCAGGCGAACAAATAATAAAGGGAATTGGACCTGATACCAGCATCCCTCTGCCATTGGTTTCCTAGATCGAGAGATTGTGACCAAGCATCGATTGGAGGCTTTAAATTATAGGTGGCGAACCGACAGCACTTGAAGACTTTCAGAAGGGTTGCTCCATCTTGGCCTTAATCGCTATTCCTACGTATGTACTTTCATGTTTTGTAGACTTCGAATAGCTGATGAAGTACAGACAGTGGTGCTGCTATTCCGAGTTCTGATTTTCAAATGGGACTGCTACGTTTCGCTCTCGCTCACCCAGTGTTTCATATTGAACACAGCAGATAGACAATTGTACAAATCAGATTAATTTATTAATCTATCCTCAAGATGAGGTCTTCTAGTGATCAGCAACTACTTGAACAGTCTCATGTAAGCTTTATTGATCATCTCTGTGTACAAAGCCATTAAATATATTCTCACAGTAATGTATCAACTCACTGTCCCTAGTTGAATTTTGATTCAATCACAGATCCAATTCTTTGCAATATTTCGGTCACCTTGAGTGAACTTTGCCACCCTCGGCCATGGACATAACGTTCTCTGACTTTCGACGGTCGGTGCCGTCTCATTCACAAACTTCGTAGCGATGAGTTCGTCTGGTGGCGCACCTTCTTCCACCCATTTCATCAGCGCCAGCACAGAGTCATGCTTCGCATCCATGTGTCCAGGCACGGAGTGCGTAACATTACTCACGCCGGTCAACCTGCCGGCTATGCCTGCTATCTGCGACGCTGCTGCTATGTACCACGGCGCATTTGGCTGAGTTGGTGCGCTGGACACGCAATGGTTCATTCCTGGGATCAGGAACAGTCGTAGGAATGAAGACAACTGAGATTCTTCAAGATTCATAGCTTCAAGAGTCCGGTTGACGTAGTCGATACTCAATCCGGCTGGAATCAAGGGGTCGGCATAGCCATGGTACATAATAATCTTGCCCCCTCTTTCCCTAAAGCCTGAGATGTTGAAATCATCGGCTGTCGCACGGCCTGGGTTGATACGAACCGCAGCGAGAAAATCATTATCTGAATATGATGAGAAATTGTATGAGGTGTCATTATAGACGAAATCCTGGAAGTATCCATATCCTATAGAGTTGGCTCCCGATGCAAGTATGGAGGGGTCAGCTCCAAAGGGCAAGCCTTGGAATACGATCGTGTTGTTGATTGTGTAAGGAGAAAACATCTTCTGTAGAGTAGAAAGTTGAGACTCAGTAACGCAAGCAGTCTGACTTGCGGACGAAGATGAACAGAGAAGCGTAGTGTAATCTATTCTGCAGCTAGCAGGATCTTGAATGATCGAGTCTGTGATCCCATCTTGGCTATCACATACCTTCGTGATTTGCGCCGTGAGTGAGCTGAATAGAGCCTCAGTGATATGATACGGAGAATCTGGAGGATAGTTCTCAAACGGCACCCAAGTGGACCATGACTGTAGGTGAGTGGTCTGCCAAGCGGCATCGCCGATCAGGGCACCGTCAAAATCGTCGGGATATAATTGAAGTGACCGCAACCCCTGGCGACCACCAGTAGCACATCCGGTGTAGTACGAATGTTTAATAGATGCTGCGGTGGTTTTGTTGTCGTTGTAGTAAGCCGAAACGATCTGCTTGGCCAGGTTGACCGAACCATGTAGGGCACGATAACTCCAATCGATGATGCTTTCTGGATTATTCAGCGCCCACGAACTGTCTTCAATATCCGAAAGATGACCGGTGTCTGTTGATACAGTCGCGAATCCATAGTGAGTATATTCGCCCATGTCAGGATACTACGAAGTTGTCAGCTGTGTCGCTAAACACCCAAGTAGGTGACGCTTACGTTAATCCCTCCCCCGAATCCGCCGTTTCCGGTGGCCATCAGCCGATTATTCCAGTGATCATGGGTGGGAAGCAGAATCGCCACGTTATAGGAAGTAGTCTCAGAAGACTTAACATTAAGCTTGAAAGCGCATAGCTCCGGTAAGTTGGTGGCATTGGCAGGATATTCTGGGCTGGGATCAAATGAAGATCCACGAGCTGGAATTTTTGTCGCGTAAACTGTAGTTGCAGGGCTGTCCAAGGATTTCAAGATTGACTCAAAACCGGCCACATCACACGGGATACTTGAGGCACAGGCACCATTGAAATACAGCGCCCCAAGCGTGACGCTGAGCCATCTTGATGTCATGACAAGAATAGTGCACTGGTAGAATCTAGAGAGTGAGAAAATGGCAAGTCAATAAGGGCGGAACTCAAGTCATGACGGAAAGGGACTGTGATATTGACCTCCGCTTAAAAGACAAGACGATGTCTCAGTAGGTAAGATGCTGACGAGACGATCGTGAAATAACCGCAGTCAAAATTATTCACGATGATTTTCAAGTCTCACCCGCCAAGCTACGTTAAGTGACTAGCCGTATCTTCACTAGCACGCGGACTGAAAAGCAATAAGATCAAGGGTGCACTCCACAAAGAGATGCTGCATGTCGCTATGTCATTTCAAGCTAATGATAGACATCTGTGCTCCTAGTCAAATGGCTAATGCCAATTGACCTATCTTGTTTATGCTTCGTCTCTTAGATGACGAAAAGTCAAGCACAAGTATCGCATAGCATCGTAAGTCGCCTACGACGTTGTGAAAAGTGATGCGAGTGCTAATATCCAGCGCTTTCGGGACTGCCCGCCACATATTTAACGCAGAGTTCTTGAGATGAGAACATAGTGGTAGTCGACAGGTCTAGTAGATTTTGTCAGTTTAGCCAGGCGTAGCGTGTGGGATTTGACAAGTTTCCGTCCCAGCGTCCTGTGTTGTCTACCAGGAGACTGCATCATGTCGAGGAGATAGTGAGCTAACCAGAAAGATAAAATAAGAGTATCACTAACTCTAGTCCCTGAGAGCCAAGAGCTTTGGGTTCGCGGTTCCTAACCGGCGTATTTTAAAAGATTACCTATTTCCCGGTCATTCTGCATGAAGACTGCGATAAATAAGTAGTATCAACGGACCTTAGAATCGCGAAGGCAAGTACCAGAGGTGAGCCCGTCACGTGGTCTAGGTGACTCCCTAAGGAAACTATCGGTATGTTGAATGAGCATTACGCCCTGAAGTCAACAAATCCTCCCTGATACTTCTCTAATCTTATACATTCCTATATAATGACCCTCTGTAGGAAGCTCGGCTGGCTATAGCTAGTCCAAGTTCGAGTGAAATAACGCAAACAGTCGTGACGGTGAATTAGCGGTTAGTTTAGAAGAGAGTCTCCGCAGTTAGCTACATACCGAGGTCCAGACACAATACAGGAGATCTTTAACTAAGGCCAGGACTAACGCAAAAATAACAACTAATAGCTAAATTCATTTGTACAAATCAAAAGAACCCTTGTGATTACAGTAATTAAGCATATGCTCAATGAAATTATGACCAAGGAGTACCGATCGTTTACGCTAGACGAGTATAGTGGGGGAATAATCCACAGAACTCAACAACCAGCATCAGTGGTTTAGTGGTAAAATCCATCGTTGCCATCGATGGGCCCCGTGTTCGATTCACGGCTGATGCATGGATTCTTCCAACCTACGCTGGCATCGTATAGTGGTTAGTACAGCTCGTTGTGGCCGAGCAAACGCATGTTCGATTCATGCTGTCAGCAGCCTTTCCGAATTGGTGTAGTGGCTAACATTTGACGCTCTCAACTATCATCTCGTCTCTTCGGAGGTTGAGATATAGGCAAGTGCCGTCAAGCCCGGGGTTCGATTCCCCGATTCGGAGTGTTTCTTTTGCCTCACCTTATTTTTTCGGTGGTGAATAACCCCTCTCCGCGTTGGTTAATAGTCCTTACCTTCTATTAAGTATTAAACCCCGCTATGACCTCACACTACAAGGTGATGCGATGCTGTGGGGCTTTTTCCCTTTTTAAAAGGTTTCCTTGTTATAAAGAGCCGGGAGCTATAAATTAATCATAACAATGTTTGAAGATAAGATCTTGTCATTAACAAATCACTTTATAAGAAGCGAATGGAAGGTATTAATATAATAAATAGATCATAGACATCATATTATAATTTGGCCGTGGAGTTCTTTTTCGTTTCTTCGCTGTGAACTTTAGAAGCCGACATCGGGCTACATGTCATCTTCTAAGCAGGCGATTAAGCCACAGATATTATAGCTGAATGGTCTGGATACCCTTGGCAATCTGTAGAGTCTTGTACCTGTGAGTTGTAGATGACATGGGGCACCAACACAGCTACGACTCTGTACTAGGTACCTAATGAAGGGTCTAGATAGAGTACCTGTGTACCTTTTTACCCCGCCATTAGTGCCAATGTGCACTTCAGCTAGGTACCCGAAGAGAGTGCCCCACCCATCCCACCTCAAAAGAGTCACAGGTTTTTTCGAGTTAACCATCAACTGTTTGAGTAGGACTGGGTATCGTCGCCTTTTCCTCGTTTGTTAGTCTAAACCGCGCGACAAGATGGCGACGACAGACCAAAATGCGGCCACTAAGGTCGTTCCTAAGATGGAAAACGTGCGACGACACCTCCCTCCCCTTCCCCCACCATACCCAGCCGGCTAACCTGCCCCTCTGACAGACTGAGAAACGCGACACTCTAATCGCCGACGAGCTACGATACCAGAAGGAATGGGATGATGCCAAAATCTTCCAGCAGAATGCCCCAGCGGCTGATGAACCGAAGCCACCCAAGTTCTTCGCGACAATGGCTTATCCAGTACGCATACCCAAGTCTTCCACTATCCTTCGTATCAATGGGATCTTGACGAATATTTCTCTGCTGTGGTATTTACTGACGCCTGGCATGAAATAGTACATGAATGGTGCGTCTCTATATGATCGGGGAAAGTCGTTGAACAACTAAATTTAATCCGTCTTAGGTACTCTTCACGCTGGCCATGCTTTCACCTGGTCCAAGTAAGTCCAGTTACTTTCATCGCAATGAGTGTAATAGATGTTAATTATGCTTGTGTTATCCTACAGAGTCGAATTTATGACGGGATTCGCGCGTATGCAAGGCCGAAGGGCTCTGTTCCCTCAAGGTTACCATTGCACCGGTATGCCTATCAAAGCTGCGGCAGATAAGCTTAAGCGCGAAACCGAGTTATTTGGCCAGAACTTCGAGAACGCACCCTCTGCCGAACTCGAGCAGCTGTCGATCGCCGAGACGACCAACACGAGCAAGACAGATGTTAGCAAATTCAGTGGAAGTAAGAGCAAGGCCGCCGCCAAATCGGGTAAGGCCAAGTATCAGTACGAGGTTTGTGGCCTGAACTACGCGTTAATCTAGCGAACACAGGTTGACAATAACGCAGATCATGTTGTCTCTGGGTATTCCTGTTGAGGAGATCCACAAGTTTGCCGACCCATATCATTGGCTGCATGTCTTCCCTCAGCTTTGCGAGGCAGATCTTAGGAGAGTCGGTGCCCGTGTAGACTGGCGAAGATCCTTTGTCACAACCGACGCAAATCCATTCTACAACTCCTTTGTGAGCTGGCAGATGAATAATCTAAAAGCCCTCAAAAAGATCAAGTTCGGCAAGCGCTTTACCGTATATTCGCCCAAAGACGGTCAGGCGTGCTTGGACCATGACCGAAGTAGTGGAGAGGGCATTGCCGTCCAAGAATACATTGCCGTGAAGCTGAAGACACTCGAATGGTGCGAAAAGGCTAAAGAAGTCATCGGTGACAAGATCCCTGCAGATGCAAATGTATACTTCATACCTGCTTCACTTCGCTCGGAAACAATGTACGGTCAAGTAAGTATTGGGCTTTTTGTAGTCCTGCATCCATCGGCAACATTAGTTACTGACCGAAGAGTTCATTCCTTTCGGATCTTTCGATTGAATCTCGTATTCATCAATGGCCGTTACTGACCTTTTTCTGATTAGACATGTTGTTTCGTGGGACCGACAGTTGACTATGGTATATTTCGAGTGCCGAAAGAGGGGGAAAAAGATGAGTATTTCTTCTGTAGTGAGCGTTCTGCAAGGAATGGTACGTATGAGAACAGTCGCCCTGAACCTAAGTCTCTTTCTTCCTTCACGAATAATCTGTAGTGGCCCCTGCTAACTATTTTGTGTAGTAAGTAAACAGAGATTCCGTTGAATATCGAGATCCAGAGGAATGCCCTGGGAGACTCTAGAGAGAAGTGTTTCACAGTTTTGCTCAGAGGTTAACATACTACAGATGGCATTCCAGGGCGTTTTTTTATCATGGGGCGAGTATCATCAGGTAGTCGGCCTAAAAGGTTCTGATGTTATCGGAACCCTTGTCCATGCACCATTCTCAATCCACGAAAAAGGCATCAGGATCCTGCCAATGTCAACAATAAAACCAACGAAAGGAACCGGAGTGGTTACATGTGTCCCCTCTGACAGCCCGGACGATTATGCTACTACATTGGACCTATTGAAGAAGCCAGAATTTTATGGAATCAAGAAAGAGTGGGTGATAGAAGAGATTTTACCTATCATTCAGACCCCCAGCTCAAACTTGTAAGTGTCGCCAAAATGCAGAGTTTCTGTTAATTTGTTGTTGCTGATAAAATTTCAGGATTGCGAAGCATCTTTACGAAACGATGAAAATCAACTCACCCAAAGACCAAAAATTACCCGAGGCTAAAGAAATCGCATACAAAGAAGGCTTCTACAATGGTGTTATGCTCTATGGCGACTTCAAGGGAATGCCTGTGCAGGAAGCAAAGCCATTGGTGAGAAAACAGATGATAGATTCCGGTGTGGCTTTCAATTATGGTGAGCCAGATGGGCTCGTCATCAGCGTAAGGAATCTCTATAAAATTACTCTTCATATTTTCAAACGGTTTACTAATTCCAAAATGCTATAGCGATCCGGCGACGAGTGCGTTGCGGTACGTTGAATCACAAACGTTTGTTAACTAAACTAATTTTCATGAAGGCATACCTCGATCAATGGTATTTCAATTACGGTAAGCTACAGAGGGTATTCTCTCGGTCAGTCACTGATAGATTTAGGATCTGCCGACAATGGGGGCGATCAAAAGTGGTATGAAGATGCGATCAATGCCATTGAGACGGATCGGACCAATTGCTTCTTCCCAGAGGGAAAACACGCGATGAAGCAGGCACTAAATTGGTATGTCCCATATTGCTGCAATATCTCGACGACCACTAACAACAATATACTAGGCTAGCACAATGGGCTTGTTCTCGGTCGTTTGGACTGGTAAGAACTCTTGATAATCTTGTGGATGACTATTAATGCTCTCAAGGGTACAAAACTTCCCTGGGATCACACTCAGCTTGTGGAATCGTTGTCTGTAAGTTGATTTGAGGTGTTTCTTAGTCAATATCTTACTTATCTTCGCAGGATTCGTCGATATACATGGCTTATTATACCGTTTGCCATTATCTGCACGGGGAGTGAGTAACATAACCTTTCCCCTTCTAATTTAAATGTTTTCAAGATCAGACCCTTGCGCTCAGGGTCGATCTGCCATGCAAGGCCAACACTCTCGATATTTCTAAACGTTTATATGTCGAGAGGTTCCTGACACAGAAATATAGTATTTACGGAAAAGTTCCCGGCTTGTCATCCAAGCCTATATCTCCCTCACAAATGACGGAAGGTGTCTGGGATTATGTCTTCAAAAGGACAGACAACGTTGACAGCGACATACCCCGCTCCGATCTCGATGCTATGAGACGCGAATTTTCATACTGGTACCCCTTGGATGTACGCATTTCGGGCAAGGATTTGATCAACAACCAGTAAGTGACCCATCCCATGAGAAACACTTCATGGCTTCCCTATTTCTCTAGAGTTTCTCGTGCTGCTAGGGAGTTGTCACTAACTTCTGATACGAAAGTCTCATGTTTTGCCTGTATCACCATGTCGCTCTCTTCGAAGAGCCCTATTGGCCACGTGGAATTAGAGTGAATGGACATCTCATGTTGAACGGCGAAAAGATGTCTAAGAGCACGGGCAACTTCTTGACCCTACGAGACGCTGTTGAAAAATATGGAGCTGACGCTACGAGAATGTGAGTGCTTAGAGTTTCTACTTCAGCATAGGGATGCACTTCTGCTGATCTAGGGAAAATTTCCTTCTTTGCGCTGGGCATATTCTCATAGCTTTTGCGTCTCTTGCCAAGAATAGGCTATGCTGACTTTGAAGCAGCTCTCTAGCAGATGGCGGTGACGGAATCGAAGACGCCAATCTCGAGGAGACCGTCGCTAATGCAACGATTCTTCGGCTTTATGAGCTGAGGAAATGGTGTCAAGAATCCGCCAACGACTCTGAGCTCAGAACCGGCGACTTAGGTCTATTTGATAAGTTGTTCTTGAACGAGATGAACATCCTAGTCGCTCAGACTAAAACATTCTACAACGATACCTCATTCAAGCTTGCTCTTAAGTCAGGCTTCTATGATTTTGTTAGTAAAGGAAGACCTAGACGATATCCAATACTGACGAGAAGGCTAGATCGCATCTCGAGACTGGTACCGAGACATTACCAAGTCTGTAGGCATCAGCATGCATCGTGATCTTGTAGTGCGATACATTGAGTTACAAGCTCTACTACTAACTCCTATGTGCGTTATCCCTTGACCTTCGGTCACAGCACGTTCTAACCTGTAACAGAGCCCCTCATTTCAGCGAGTATTTATATCGTGAAGTGCTCAAGCATAGTAACAGTGTCCACAACGCATTGTACCCCGAAGTGCCGCCTCCAGATACCATACTGTCAGCGATGTTCAGTTACGTGCGAAGCGTAA